ATGATTTTTTGTATGTAGGTAGCTGAAGTGATGCTTCACATAATCAGATGACAATTATGCAAATCAGGAGCTAATTTGCATAATTAATGAAGAAGTTCTATAAATCTGATTCGTTCGATAAAAGGACTATGAAACACTTGTGACATGTAATTGAGAACTAGAAAAACATCTGAGGATATAGATTATGTAAATGAAGACCTAATTTGCATAATTAATGGGAAAGTGTTATAATTTCATAGTTGTAATTGCTGGGAATTTCATACTTGACGCATTTGGAAGTTAAGTGAAGGTGAACATCAATGAGGATAATTTATTCACATGATGACCTTATTTGCATAATTTATGAGGAAGTGCTAGAATAGCTTATTTTATTAAGATAAGGCTGCCATTGGGTGGAGAATATGATCAACTGATATAATCCATGCAAATGACGCTCTTATTTGCGAAATCAATTATTAAAATTGTATAATTCGTTAACCGCAAGGGTTAACATCATTTGGCGAAGGTATGAGATCGTGGAACTCTTGTTATAATTATGATCATTGTGATCAAGTATCATGGTGCAATGCCTCTGGTCCCCAATGTTTAGAAACCTAGCTTGATACTGAAGGCTTATGGTAATGGAAACACTGTTCACTTACAGTACCAAGGGCAAGGTTTTTAAGGCAGTCATCCTCTATGGAGATGGAGCGTGCTGCTTTATACCACTTTAGCATACAAAATATATGATTGTCAAATAAGTGGATTTGCATTTTATGTGAACATAAGAAGAAATCACCAGTGTATAAAAATGTGGTGTTAGCCAATAGGGTACAAAATGGGCAACACGGCCTAGCTTAAAGACCGTTCAGAATACCCTTCGCTGTTAACTCGACTGTTGTCGTTATAAGGCCTAAATCCGCCCCATCTCCACATATGGTCACAGGGATCCAGGCTGTTACAGTGAATGACCTCGCCATATAACCCAGACGGCGGTGCAATTATTCTGCTGTATCGGAATCGCTCGGAACTCTCCGTTCTGTGTATCGATAGGAAGCTGTTTCGGCATATTGCCTATCCGTCTTTATTGCCCTGTGCCATTTAATCTAATTGCACCTTTCCATGCCTCTGGGGTGCTTCTTTACATAGATGGCATCACGCAGTCCACATAGAATTATTTTCCTTCGAATTCTAGGCAGGTTGTTGACCCATTGATTGCCCCTTTTCTCCCTGTAGCAAAAAGATGAGGTATGTAATAGTAGATTAAATTGTCATATTCATACAGCATGCCTCATACCTCAACTGGTAACATTTGTGGAAATGTCATTTCTGACTGGGCCGGTTTTGTGCATGGTAAGTACGTGAAGTTATTCTGTACAAATAGTCATACTATAGATTACACACTGTGTTGTATAGAATCTATTGTGAAGTTTTTCTTAGAATTCTTAAACTAATTGGTCTTTGTGTTTTTGGTGAAGTAGTACGAATAGATAATCCTTGAAAAAAACAGTTTGAGCATGTAGACCATCTAGATATCTGGCTGAAGCCTTAAATCCTTTTTTTTAATTTCAGTCACTCAAGAATCTACCACAATCTTATATTATGATGTATATTGAATACTGGTTTAGAGATATAACATTACCAGTAGAATCATTTCAAGGTTGGAGTTATCGTTGTTTAGTTTTTCGTGTTATATGGCACCTTTGAGGTTAACAGTTAGATCTGTCCACTGGAACTACAGATTTGCTTGCTTTATCCATTACTATCTGGAACAAACTTGTATCATATCTTCAATGTAAAATTACATCATTGGAGATGTACGTGTAAACCAAAACCAAACTTTTCTTATCGATGATACAGGTGAGCTACCCTCATTCAGTATTATTGAGGCAGTGTCTATTTGCCAGTCTATACATGGTAATTTCTCACCTTGCCTTTGGTAATTTGACACCAGGGAAAGAGAATTACAACTTGATACATTTTCTGACCTATACACAAGCATAAAATTTTGCCCTGGGATGTTTTAGTGTTCCCCCGTGTATGAATCCGGAGGTGATTTTTAGGTAAACGCCACCCATGGGTAAAGGATTATGGGTGATTTGTCGGCAAAAGTGGAAGTTAGTCCCCCATATCAGTCACAGAGAGATGGGTGCTGGCTCATCTGCATATGAAAGCCACCTGTGCCTAGCTTTCTACCTCATTTGCATGCCAAAGCCACCTGTGTCTGTTACAGTAGTTTAATTTTAGTGCATCAGTGTTGTATTTCTAAAATAGAAAGTTTCATTTTATTAAAAGTTAGCGAAGATAGTGTAGATAATGAGTTTTGGCATGGTATTTTATGAAACTTTGATATGTTTCTTTTATCTAGTGGAACCAAAACAAATATTGTCAGTGTAATGTGTTTTCCATCTTTAGATTAAATAGATTCCAAAATAGCGCTTATTACAAAATGTAGTACTTAGTATGCTTAGTATAGAGTTAAAAAAAGCCAACAGAAAAATTAATTTTGAGTTGGATGTAAAAAGATGCTTGAGAACAACCCCTGAATTCGGCCTCTGAAAACTGGTGCACAAGAAACACGTACATGTGTTAAGAAGTGAATACCCGGCAGTTGATTGATGTTGGCCATTGTAAAAGCAGGCCAATGCCTTATAAGGTCATATCAGTGTGATAGGTCCAGGACCCATCTTTTACATCTAGATGAAAGTCACGTGTTAACGTTACAGATTCCAGATTTACGTTCCCTTCTCTTTGTAGAAAAATATTGCAGCCTTTATAAGAATGGCTTGATCGTAAATAAATGCTCTATAAATGATATTAAGACAATAAGATAACACTCTTTTTGAATATATGTTCAATCATCAGATGAATGTTCTAACCATGATGATACACAGAACTCACTGACAGAATATTGAGGGGTGGGGGTGGGGGCTTATATGTAAATATAGACTTTGGGATTGAATAGTAGTGTTAGCTACACCAGGTATGATGAAACAAGCCATTCGATTGGTATGGGAGTATCGTAGACTACCTAAAAGAAGAAATGGTTAACAGCCAAAATGACAAGCACTGTCGCAATGTAAAATCTGCTCAACATTTCATCAGTAGTTCTTTCTAAGCGTCTACCTAATCTGTCCTTGGTGCTGATTACACATCCACTGACCTACATGTATTCTAGAGGGTTAGCTCTGTCCCTGGTGCTGAACACCAGCACAAAGCATTAATCTCTCTGTGGGAATCTGTCAAAACAAATTAACCACTGGGGTCCGGGAGTCAGTAACAATGCCTTTGATGTCTAGCGGCACCACTTCAGCAGGGATTGGTAAAAGAATAATTGATTTTGAGCTCTTAAACGTGTATAGAATGTGATATTTTGTCTCAAGTAAAAGACAAATTCGGATATCTTGATGGCTGTTATATGGAGTTGCTTGGAATTCAAGCTTCATCATGCAAAATGACAGTGTTTTGCCATAAGATTACAGACCAGCTGAACTTTTGTAAAAATCAATACAGAGTTAACTTTCCCCCTGCTACATAACTGTCCAATTGATGCAAATTGGGTGCCGTAAGTCTGGCTTGGGAAGGAGGAGGTTAAACTGCCCTGACCTTTCTCTTGGCAGACATACAGCCTGATTTAATGGCCCCAATAAAAATGCCAGCCACTGTAAAATTGCCCTAATAAATACAGACCCATAGTTAATGACCTGTTCCCTATTATACAATAATGCACCATGATTATGTATATCTTGTAATTCTTGTCACTTTGTGAGGATATGCGTCAAGAAGAAATGGACATACAGGTTATAATCTTCCAAATATGATTGAAAAATGTTCCCTTTTAGAACAACTTATTAAAGATACCAACATTTCACTGTCTAATGTACATTCTTCTCGTTAGATCTTAGATGTTTGAATCCTGTGACTTGCTACAAATTTCTGTAAATAAGAACCTTTCTTGTTTCGAATGAAACATAAAACACGTACACATCTATAGTGCTATTATCGCTGTTTCCATACTAAAGAAGTGTCCAGAGTCCAGACTATTTCAATTTGAATGGCTTCCTTGTAGGACATTGATGACGTTAACATGCGTCACAGCCTGCGGCTAGATTTGATTGTCTGCAATCACTGAAGGATATTACTGATTATTGTTCCAAAGATAGAAAGAACCTTGATATAACTGTACGTACATGTATTGCCTTGAATGCTTGTCTGGGTTTGTAGTTAATATAGTGCCTGATTTTTATTTTAAAACATAAAATACTAGACATAAATTTTTTTTATGGCTGAGACCGTCTACAGCCTTCATTTAGGATCGTACATATGCATGTAGATGACCAGCCACTTGTCAATTTATTTTTTTAAAACAAAATTAGCTGCACTAGTTCTAGTATGATTACATTTCCTATGTTTAGACTGAAATAGTGAAAATCAAGGAATTTATAATGTTCATGACCTTTTGAACTGATAAGACAGATGATATGATAGTATCATTACTCCCGTCCTGTTGTGAGCTTGATTACGTGGGATTACATGTACTTACATGTATAATCTCCTGACTTGTTGTGAGAACAGTATTTGAATCTCAGGTACATCTAATGAGTAATGTAGCACTTTCTCATCTCTTAATGGTTTTATTATGTAAACTCTACAACACTATATGCATCATTGACAAATTATGTGAGAAAAGGGTTTGTGGTCTTTTAACATTAATTATTATCATTATTAATGTATATAGTTCTGGTATGTGCATATGTGTGTGTGTGTCTGTGCGTGTGTACATGTTAGACTAGTGCAAATTATTGTGTGAATTTCTGCAATTCCCAACAAACACATCTTCAGTGCTGATATTTTTTCTCTGTGGGACAGAGAAAGTTACAAATCAGTATGGGTATGCAGACGAAGTCTGCCATCCCTGATTTCATCGTCAGTTGTTATGAATAATTATCCATTGTCAATTATCAATATGAACGATTATCCAAATCCTGATTATACCTTTTTCCCTTGCCCTTTGCCTGTAGTTCTCCTGATGGCGTCCCCGTGGGGTTGAGTAGAGATGGACCCAAATATGGAGGTTGAGGTGAGCAGCGTGCAGGAGTGGCTGCAGGCCATCCAGCTGGAGGTGTACGTGCAGCTCTTCACCAGCCAGGGGTACACGCAGCTCAGCGACTGCTGCAGCCTCACCGACGACACGCTGCACCAGATCGGCATCAGCCGCCCGGGACACTGCCGCAGGATCCTCAAACACCTGCCCATCTCGTGCGAGGGCCATGTAAAGATGCCGGCCGCCTCCCCGATCGAGCCCAGCCCGCTGGGTTTACTGTCCGGGAGCACGAGCAGCGTGGACAGCGCCACAGATCAGCTAGTCCCGCCGAAACTCCCGCCGAAGATGAGGAAGGCATCTAACGATAAATCTCCATCCCCCTCCCCTACCCCAGAAGAAGAGGAGAAAAAGGCTGTTGCCGCCCCACCAGTCTTCCCTCCCCAAACCTCTCCCCCAAACCCACCGCATGACGGGCAGCTGCCGGCAAAACCTAAACCGACCCCGAAACCCAGGAACCTTCCACCCAGGCCGGTTCAAAACGATGGCAAATCGGTTCAGCCCAACAGACCGAAGCCGACACCAAGACCGCGCCAAAACCTCCCTCGCCAGCAAAATCCCATCCCCAGAACTCTTAGTGAAGGCGGTAATGATGAAGATGGTGCAAAACTCAAGAAGTCTATTCGTAGGGATGCGATCAAGTCCATGCACGATGACCTTGATGAATCCCATGAAAACAACCCAGTGATGCAGGATAACCCCATATATAGAAAAACATCACCCAGTAACAACATTAGTCCGTCTACAACAGACAGCAACAAAGGTAGAAACAACCCTGAGGAACCTACACAGCGTGTGGTCCCGCCAAGAAACACTGAGTTTCGGATCGTAGGAAATGGTGGTCACCACAACCCTCAGTACGACGAAGTGGCCCGCGAAAGCCAGGCAGACTTGTACAGCCAGGTTGAACCACATGGGAATGGTATGCCGCCCCCCCTCCCGGATAGGCCACCTGCCGCTGTTCCTCGCAAGGACGGCGACGGCAGTAGCACTGACCCTGGGGTCAGTTTGGAGCCCAACGAAATTGTCCCACCCCCCTTGCCATTTCGCAACATGCGGACACAAAACGTCTATGACGATGTTGCACCTGATTTGACTATAGTTACGCACGTTCCAGACCCCTACGAGGAAGTACAAATTAACCAAGTTACACAGACTGTACACTTGCCAAACTCACAGCCCATGACATCAAAGGCCAGCAAGACGTGGCCACGGTCCCATCCCCACCCCCCACCCCCGGGCAAAAAGAAAAGCCCACCGTCCACCGAGGAGCCAGGGGTGTATGAGACTGTCAACATAGACGACATGAAGCCTCCCCCCAACAGAGCCAACAACAGCAGTATCAAAATGGTGGCATGTGACGTGTATGAATCCAAGGAAGAGGTTCAAAATCAGATGATTGGAGAAGATGTTTCTCCATATGAAACCGTCTCCTACGACCAGAGTGATAGTATGTCAAGTAGTGGAGACGACATTGACGGCGGAGGTGCATCTGTTCCTTGGACCTTGCCACCGGTAAGATGTATTTTTAATCAAATTAAAAATATTAACCAGCAATAACTGTTTCCGCTGTGAAGTCACGTATGGTAAGTGGAGACAGAATGCAAAAATCTGACCATTTAGACAAGGAATTCATTGCGATGCACAGTCAGTACGGCATGGTAATTGCTACAATATAAAATTAGACCACAGCACTTGACCTTGTTCTATTCTCCGGGGAGCCGTAACACTACCCTTTAGGGAAATCACTGTGAAATACCAGACACCATCTGTATTCATCAGTCTGAGTCTGTACATGTTTCAAGGTCAATCTGCTTTTTGGGAATCTTGTGAGAAAGTTGCTACAATTTAAAGTAAGAGCTTATTACCCATCTTTTAAACAAGACAAGCCGGAATGCAAAAATAGGTTGCATTCATCACATGACTATGAGTATTATATAATACCAAAAGTATTACAGTGAGTATGATCAATATAAAATGATGTAATACATGATATTCCTTCTTTTGCCCTTTGAGCAGACAGAGGATGATGATGAAGAAGAGTGCAAGAGCATTCCTATTTCGAGTGCAACGGTAAGATTATAAAAAATTAAGCCTTATCAGAGTGGATTACTAATTAACATAGATTAGGCTCTTCCTATATGTTATTTTTTAAACTAAAAACAAGTAATGGTCCAACAAGATTAAAATTATTCATTGCACCTCTTATAAATGTTGCAAAAGAAAGTCACTTAACTCACGTCTTTGACACAAAATAATATGATGCAACCTTTGTTCTACACTTTACCCCTCTAACATTTCTGTTTTTCCCTTTCAAGTCTTACATGTTTTCAGGGTCGAACCGAGAGGTGGGAGAAAAAAAAATATATGTGTCACGTTTCTCATGTCTCACTGCTCCGTGGTTTCATTTACATGTACCTCAGTCTGCAGCTGCTGCAATTTTCTCGTAGTTTACATGTCTGCTTTATACACAAATGTATGATTGTATAGGATGTTTGTACTGAAGTCATTACATTGTATAACAGAATCGCTGCATTGTTCCCTATGCTCAGCATATTGTTAAACCTGAAAGTTGCCCGCCATGTAAATTTGAATCTGTAGTCACGTAATTATGACATTGTATACATACAAATTTATACATCTGACTCTGCCAAGTTCAACCGACCAGCTTGTGCAGCATCGTGGCCTATAATGACATCACAAGCAGACATTCAAGTAGTAATGTGTACTGTTCAATGAAACATTTAACATTTTGTCACAAGATTACACTCATTTATTTCAAAGTGTAAAATGTGAATGCTCTGAGACTGAAAGAAGCTCACTGAATCTGATGAACTGCATTACATGTCAAAGCTTGCAGCTACATTTTGCATTCACAGCAGTAGCAACAATATGTATCAGATTTGCAGGCGGTAAAGATTGTGTTGTAAAATTCATGCACCGTCCATGGTTGCTGTTTCTCAAGTAATGAGATTACTACAGCAGGGTTCTAGAACATAGCCAGCATCTGTCATTCCGTCATTCAACAAAATTTTTCTGCTCATGATGGAGAATAATTGTAACCATTTTGTCACCTTGACAATATGATACAGACAAATGCCATCTTATAATTGGGAAAAGATTGAATTCAGATTAAATCACGTAAAATATCAGTGTCGGTTTGCAATGGGAATTGTGATAATGTTGGAAAAAAATCTAAAGCTAGCTAGAACCCTGCACTGCATCCATGTGCCATGGTGTAATGCTATATCATTTGTATGCATACCCATGCACTCACTGTTTGTCAAACTATGCATCAAATGCTGTAACAGGTTTTGGCTGAGAGAAACTGCTTTGTATTATCATTGGGATTGGATTATACTCTGAATGTATCAAATAGCACTAAAAATTAAATGCTACTGATATTTGGAATACTTTCACTAGTTAGCTACCAGGAATGTTGTTCATGCCTATATGTTATATATCTTGAAGTTCCTGGACTGTGTTGGCATTTTGTTTAATTTTTCAATGACTCTAGGCTCCTAGCTTATACATGTGAGGCTAGCCATCTGTCCATAAGGGCCTGAACCTCCAAAACACTTGCTCCTACATGTACAAATGTATATTGACCTAAATATCTGAATAGTTGTAATGTTTCACTTGCGAGTAGGGTCACACATGGACAAGACAACTTCATTTAGAAAAGGCGTAGCAAGTTATGAGACAGGCCCTGGTCATGAGATGCTCTGTTCTATGAATTGTGAGGTTTATGTTATGGAATATCTTGACAACTAGATGTTTGTGATGGATGTTGACTTGTAATTGGTTGAACTACAATGCCCCTTCTTCTCAGGTGTTCCCTTGTGAATTTCTCCAGTGTATTTACTGCATGTAAAAGCTTTCATTACAAGACATAAAACTGTAAATGACCTAATTCATGCGCTATATGTACGTGACTTGATTAAAACTGTAAGGTAATATAATTGTTTAGTTGCTTTAAAAGCTGCTAAAATTACTGAAAACTTATGAGTCCTTCTTGTGATAAAGTAGAACTATTAGTTTCACTTCTTGATTTTGTACAGAATCATTCCAAATTGTGCAATCCCTGTTTCCCTTGTTAGTCTTTGGTGAAAGAGTAACAACAGTCTGCACAGTTCTGATGACCTTATAATATCTTGTTCTTTTCTCAGATACGTAAAAATGAGCGCTGCGGCTATCTGGAGAAACAAGGAGGGTAAGCCACAGAACCATATTTGTATCCTCTTATAAATTACACCAGTCTGATTATCATAAGGCATACAATACATGGTATTGCAGCTGTCATTTTTGCAAAAAGTTTAACACAACATCAGTCTAGAATCAATTATTTAGGACTGAACCAAAACGTTGATGGCATACAGTCTTTTCCTTCCATTCCTTATCTTTTTTACGACCCTCTTTATTGTGCTGATTTATGTCATAATCCCATAGGACAACTCAAGAAGAACATGTGCCTTTTAATTTGCTTGCCTAATGATTTAAAATGTACTACCAAAACACAGTAACTTCAGAGTGTAAATGATATAAGCTTCATAATACATAATTATTACATTGTTTAAAATGTACTACCAAAACACAGTAACTTCAGAGTGTAAATGATATAAGCTTCATAATACATAATTATTACGTTGTACATTGTACAGTATATTAGATCTTGGAGACTAGAAAAATTGATGCATTGTC